TATAATAAATTATTTGTATCGTGTGTGTGTTTGTGTTTGTTTGTGTGTGTGTGTGCACTACCATGTATACGTATATGCGGATGTATATTTATATATATACATCTGTATTACATATATAACATATATACCTGTTTACATTATTGTTATTTATTAAATTATTATCATATTATCTATTATATCTATATATATAATTATCTTTATGTTTGTGTATGTCTATGTTTGTCTACATATATGTATGTAATTGTGAGAGTCCATTAATAGGAAATGACTATATATATCATTCAATCAATCAATCGATCGATACAACTTTTGATTGTAAAACAATTTTTAAATGTAAAAAAATCTGATAAGTTCATTTCTTCATCTTCTTTAATGATGGTGTTGTTTGGGAGGATGATTGGTTGGTTGGATGGATGGATGGATGGTTGGTTGGTTAGATGGATGGATAGATGGATGATTGGTTGGTTACGCCATCTGATCACATCTCTGTCTGCTTTTTGACTCTCATGCTCGTTAGAAGAAGGATGGTATGGGCCTGCCAGTTCAAAATGTAACGCTAGGTCCAAACTCAGCCTCCGAATGCACTCGCTTTTTTGTGAAAATTATTAACCGGTTTTAATTGGTTTAATGTAAAAATTAGATCAGAGTATCATATTGAAATTGAATTAGCTGTTATCGAGATCAGCGGATGCATTTTATGATGATATGAAATAAACGGACGGATCATTTTACATCATCGTCAATTTACAACATCAAAATAGGTTTGAAAGGTTTTTTATTACTACTTTACAGTATTCTTGTATGTAGAAATAACAAAATTATTTGCTAAATTACTGAGATAATTAGCTAAATTAAGGTAATCTTCACTTTATTTTGTTTGTTGAAAACAGACGGTTGGCAGGATGATTTATTATGAATAAGGATGTTCGAAATGAATGGCAACATGCCCAAAGATGTTCATTCAATGTTTTCTTCAATCTAAGCAGCTAGCCGGTTTGAATTTATACAGTACAAATCAGTTGAAAGAGTACGTGCAGTGAATGTTGGCGTGTTGAATTTTTAACGGTGATTTAAGTTACATGACTGTGTGTTAACGTATACCAAGGATAAATAGAAGATAGCTTGATAGATGAATTGATGGATGGATGGATAGTTAGATAGATACATAGATAGATGGATGGAAATAGAATGAGAAAATGGAAAAAGGCCGAATGTGTCTAGTCTGCTAGTTACATTCCAGTGGGCTGGAGCTTATGGAATGATTTATCTCCGAATGTTTCTCGAATATGATTTTCATTACAGATTTGATAAATAAATTAAGAATATGATTTTCATTACAGATTTGATAAATAAATTAAGAATAAAATTTGTTTCTTTTTAATTATTATCATAGTTTTACAGGCATTTCAAAAGATTTGAAAATAATTACAAAAGTTATTAGTGAATATATATCATGTTCATGTATGAAGTTATTATTAACAAATTGACAAATGCTGAAATTAAGCTTTGTAGGTGTGTTTCAACAAACGAAATTTTCAAAATGTCAAATTAATATTACATTACAACCAATAAGCCAAGCGAATCCCAAAGTATTTCTAAAAATACGCCAAATAAATGTCCCAAAAAAACATGAAGATGCAAAACATGGCGAGAACAACTGACGGAAAAAATGTTAGTGCGAATCCGTAGGCTCGTTTCGTCCGACTATCGGACGGATCGTTGTAGCCGATCCAGAATAGAATCCTTCCCAACAAAAACCAAAACGCGCAAATCGGGATCAACTTCATTTCGTCGCTCCCGAACCATGTTACACTAATCAACTGCAGGAATATGTTGATAACGAACTGTTCCAAGGTATTTTGAAGTACCCTAACCGCCACATCGATCTTGTGTAGATCTTTACTTGATAGGGGATTAACTTGATTGGATTTTCGTCTGGTATCGCCTATTTTGTGCACCACGCGCATAATGAAGCAGACGGACAGCAGATTGCACTGGATAACATAGGCTATTTTGTCCCCCACTGAATCGAAATTTCTCGTTTTGATCGGGGCGTAGTGGTAGTAGAGGTAGGTTATGACCCCGCTAATGAAAATCGTAAACAAAACCCTCTTCATTATCCTGTTTCCAACTGCTTTTAAATCTACCGGCTCTTCCGTTACTGGGATTCTGGCCATATTTTTATTTGGAAAATTATCCAAAAATAAATATTATTGTTACTATTTAGTTATTATTATTTAATTATTATTTTACGGTAATAATATCACGACCGGCAAAATAACGATTTTTTTCAACACATATAGTTCATCAAAATAAGATAAACATAAATAAATTTATTATTTCTAAAAAATTTGTCGATATTATTTAATAAATAGAAAGTTTTTTCAATAGAATATTAGTTGTTAACATCTACGAGATATACTCTCTGAACATATATAGGATATAAAATAGACAAAAGTTGCTGCAACCGTCTCGCCTATAGACATAACTCTGAAGTTTCACCTTATTCAGATATTAAAATGCGATGCAAAGTTAACCTGCTAACTATATTATATCCAATGATCAGCGATAAAAAACAGAAATAAATAGATAAATTGTCCAGAACATTTACACATAATATAATATATATATATACTGTATATATATATATATATATATATATATATATATATATATATATATATATATATGTAAAGTCATCGCATAAATAATATATAACATTGGTGTGAATATTAGTCAAGTTATTATTGTAATAAAGATGTATTCGTCTATAGTTAAACAGTATATTATATCTTTTTTTGTTATCAGAATGTTAATACTAAGAATTAAGTAGAATAAGAGAGATAGAGAGTGTACTCTACATATTACGTAGTATATTGAAATCTCCCTCTCTCTCTCTCTCTCTCTCTCTCTCTATATATATATATATATATATATATATATGATTCTTGCTTGGCCTAATTTAGCATTATGCAGATGTTGCTATCTATGTCTGAACGTTTGCTTAACGAACGAATGGATGAAACTTGCCGTGTATAAGCCATGAATGGAAATTATCATAATGATATTAATTAAGTGTTTATATATCTGTGTATAATATAATGTATGAAACACACGCACGCACATACACACACACACGCACACATAAAAGCACAACTTCTGCATGTATACATATTAGGATCTAGTTTTCTATTATATTATACAGTATCCGTTCAAAGGTAATATGCATTCTGTCAGTAAGTAGTTTTTTTTGTATCTAGGTTGTAGAAGTCCTCATCGTCGTCGTCTTCATAATCAACTTAACTATCATAGTTAATTGTTAATAGCATCAACTTTACCATTATCGTTAATATACAGTTTTACATCGTTCCTGTCATCATCGTCTTTCAGTCATGATCACAATCGTAATGACGATTAAAAAAGCATGGATACCGAATGAACCGTATCTCTCAGATAGATGAACGTAGAGAAAAGCGCCAAAAGAACATACGAGGAGAGGGTAAACATGAAGCCGATCCCTCTCCTGGTCCGACTCTCTCTCGGATCGTTGTACCCAATCCAGAATAAAATTCTTCCCAGAAGGAACCAAAACGCGCAAACCGGAATCAACTTCATGTGCTTATTTCCGAAATAGGTAGCGCTAGTTAGTTGAAAAAACAAGCTGAGAATTATTTGTTCTATGGTGTTTTGGAGAACCCGTGCCGGAACGTCAAGTTTGTGAAGGTCTTTGTTCGACAGTGGGTTAATTTGGTGAGTGTTAACCCTGATGTGAATGATGTAAGCCATGAGCGATATAATGAACCAGGCAGACGGTATGTTGCACTGCAGAACGTAGGCAAACTTGTCCCCAACTGTCCTGAAATTAGGAGGATTAATCGGGCAGTAGTGGTAGTAGAGATAGGTGCATGATCCGACGATAAGCGATATCGTTAGAACCCTTTTCGTAATTTTAGCTTGAAGTTCGGCTTTGCTGATGGGAACGTCTGTCGAAGTTGATGACGACATCTTTTGAAGAACTATTTATTAATCCGACTGAAAATATAAATATTATTAGTTTAATATTATAAAATTCACAAAAAAAGTTCCAGACAAACACACAATTACAACGTACATTCGTATATAAATACCTTTAAACAACTAGAACACTTATAAGGCGAAGCTATGAATGAAACAAAACAAGACGCTCGTTTGCAAATTATGAAGGTAACCTATTATATATTATGTATATATTAACACTCTCAGCGCATACATAAGCACTATATAAAATAAAGGCTGGCATTGGTGGATTTCTTTTATCGATTCTAAATTAGACGAATAGTCGAGTACATTACTGGTCACGTGAGGGTACTGGTTTATTATTATTAATATTTGCTGCTGAAATTTCACTGCCGATTATCTCTTTTAAAATTTAAATGAAATATTTTATTAAATAAGTCATTTTTTATTTATTTTTATTTATTTAAATATTTATTTAGGATAATTTAGAAATTAGGTAGTTAAATGATAGAAAATGTCGCACAGAGATGAACAGTATGTAGGTCCATACAGGCTGGAAAAGACGCTGGGAAAAGGGCAGACAGGTACTTGACTAATTTTTAATTTAATTATTATTTAGACTTTTTTTAACTATTTAAAATTCATTTTTTAAATTTTATTTCGTTTTTTCATTTATTCCTTATTGATCTTAATGGTTTTTTTGTCAGTTAATTTTTAATTAAATAATTAATAATTTAATTAATTATTAAATCAATGAATCTTATTGTGGGGATGAACCAAAATATTTGCCTAATTTTCTGGTTAAACCAAAGATCCATCATCCTAAAGGCCTATATGTAAAAAGTTGAGGATTTTCAGGATGCTATGGATATAATATTTATAAAATAATATCATAATTTTATAAAATTATTATTTATATTATATTGATTTAAAACTTATTCCCTTTTAATTATTTTTTAGGATTAGTGAAATTAGGAGTTCACTGCATCACAGGCCAAAAAGTTGCCATTAAAATTGTAAACAGAGAAAAATTATCCGAATCTGTTTTACTGAAGGTTTACTTTTAAACAACAATTTTTTCTACATTATTATATATATTTATATTTTATTATTAAATTTATTTCAAGTATTATTTGCTAATTATTATGAAAAGTCATATATATTGATTTAGCCATATCGTTATGTTATGGTTATTTGATCGTAGTTTACATGTTTTGGTCTGGCACTACTGTATCAAAAATTATAAATATAATTAATAATAATATTATCATTGAAAATTATCTTCTCTAACTATTTAATTTCACTTTTATTCTTTCTTTTTGCAGGTCGAGCGGGAGATTGCAATTATGAAACTGATTGAACATCCGCACGTCCTAGGACTCTACAATATTTATGAGAATAAAAAATATCTGTTTGTAATATTTGAATGAATGAATGAATGAATGAATGAATGAATGATTAAATGAATGAATGATTGAATGAACGATTGATTGAATGAACGAATAAATAAATAATAACTTAGTAAATAAATAAGTTTGCTTATTTAATTGATTTGTTTTTGTGTCTTTATGTTTGGATCATTATTTTGTTACATCATGCGCATATCAGTATTTTCTATAGCTTTGTATTTTTGTTTGACGTTTTGATTTTGATCTGATTTTGATCTAATTTATTTACATAGAGAGAGTGAGTGAGTGAGAGAGAGAGAGAGAGAAAGAGACAGGCCTTTTTTAATTACTTTTTTTAATGTTTTTGAGTTTATTTTTTGTGATACTTCAGACTGTTTTCAGTCAGTCATTCCATGTTTTGTGTTTTTGTTCTTTTTTATTTCTAGTTTTTTTTCTGATGTAACAAAAAAAAACATTTTATTTTCCACAGATTTTTGCGTCTTATTTTGCAATCAGTTTCATTTCTACGATTTCGTTAAAAAAGGGTTCACACAGCATGCAAGAAATAATATCATTTGTAATTTATTTGAAATAATTTGAAGTTAATTTACTGAAAGTTGGATTAATCACTGTAAGTAAAAATAGTTATGTAATAAGTAAAAATATGAGCTAGCCATTCGAGAGCCATCTAACCATCATCGTCAACCAACCAACCAACCACATTTAACCGCCATTAGCAGCTAGTCAGTCAGATGAATCTTTCATCTAAGGCCAGCCAATCAAATGCAATCACCAGCACCGCAATCAACCAATCAAATTTGAGACGCCAACCCATAAAACACCAGAAAGCATTTAAATAAGCAGAGGAAACTATCAGTTTGAGATCTAACGCTTTCAAAATATATACAAGTATGAGTAAACACACGCACACACGCACGCACACACACAGGTATTTAGTGTTGGAGCACGTTAGCGGGGGTGAATTATTTGACTACCTCGTCAAAAAGGGCCGTCTGACACCGCGTGAGGCCCGCAAATTTTTTAGGCAGATCATTTCGGCCCTGGATTTTTGCCACAGCCATTCTATCTGGTTATTTTTCTCCGAATAAATTATGTTAATTAGCTACATTAGCTAATCAGTAATATTAACACCAATATTATTAATTTTTATTGACGATTGTTTCTAGTGCTATATAAAGTTGCGGCGCATATATTTTAAAAATGTTTTCTGATTGTTTTCTTGTTTGTTTTGTTCATTCGTTCACTTGTACATACACGCACACATACACGTACAAACACTTGTACATACACACACAAACACACAGCCACAGAGATTTGAAACCTGAAAACTTATTATTGGACGAAAAGATGAACATAAGAATCGCAGATTTCGGCATGGCCTCTCTTCAGGTTGAAGGCTCTTTACTGGAAACCAGCTGTGGGTGAGTTGGCAAAAATTTCACACAATTTTAAAGTGTGGGTGGAAGCCCGGAGCAATAAAAAAAATGAAAGCTTTAAACTTTTTTCATTCCAATTCCATATTCTTTCCAGCTCTATCTATTAAAACCAATTCTTTTATAACAAGTACTGTCGTTGAAAATGCGATAAAATTGATCTCAAATAAAAATTCCTCTAATGGCCCGGTTTTTTGGAGTCCGGACTTTTTTAAAATACGGCCACGATGAAAATAATTATTCTTAATACTTATTATAACCGTAATTACGTTAGTAATTATATTCGTACTTCAATTGCAATAGATTAGTTTAGCTGGAGGGATTATGTTGAGAGTTGAATTTTTTGTCGGAGGCAATTTTCTTCGTCGTGCCTCTAATATCATTTTGTTATTTAGAATCATAATAATAATAATTATATAATAATAATAACAATTATTATTATTATATAATAATTATAATATATAATTTTTCTTGTTATTTTTCAAGGTCTCCTCATTATGCATGCCCGGAGGTGATCAGGGTAGGTGGAAAAATGAGACTATCATTTCGAGAAATTAAACTGTCACATTGCACGAATATGAATTAGCTATGAAATAGATAATTGACCAGCTAATTAGCATAATTTATTCAATCGGCTTGTAAAAACTAGTTGACGGACGTAATTAGAAATTAATTTATTCATACCATACACCACACCAAGGGCGAAAAGTACGACGGGGTCAAGGCCGACGTGTGGAGCAGCGGAGTTATCTTGTACGCCCTACTGGTGGTCTGTTATAATAATAATAATTATAATAATAATAATAATAATTATTATTATTATAATAGCAGTAATGTTAAAAAACATTTTTGAACAAACTCTTGGTTTTTTCCAATCAATTAAGAAACGTATAGCTAGACGCGTGGTCATTTAAATGGCGACATCATTAACATCATTAACGACCCTGGTCCTAATTAACATAATTAATTATTATAATTATGATAATGAGGGCGCTCTACCATTCGACGATGACAACCTGAGACAATTGTTGGAGAAGGTTAAGAAGGGGGTCTTCCACATACCACATTTCGTACCGGCTGATTGCCAGAATTTGTTGAGAGGCATGATAGAGGTCGACCCCAAAAAAAGATTATCGGTAAGAGATAACCACGGCGATGATGATGATGATGTGGTGATGATGATGATGGTGGTGGTGGTGATAATGATGACGTGATGTGATGACGACGACGATGATGACTGAACTTTTTTCAAATTTTTTTTTTCAGTTGCAACAAGTTCACGATCACACATGGGTCATGTTAGTGTCGAAAAGTTTTCCATCATCATCCTCATCCTCATCGTCATCATCATCATCATCATCGCCATCATCATCATCATCGCCATCATCATCGTCATCATCATCATCAGGGAGCAAGGAGTTTCAGATTTGGAAATCCCAATGGCGCAGGCTGTCCAAGTATTGCAAATTAATTAATTTTTTATTTCACGTACTCACACACGCACACGCACGCACACGCACACACACACACACACACAACATACATACAAACAAACGAAAAAACAAACAAACAAACAAACATTCAAACAGACTTCAGTCATACCGTGTAAGAATGATATTGATGTTGATGTGCTTTCGACAATGAATTCCTTGCAATGCTTTAAAGATAAGGAGAAATTAATTCAGGAATTACTCAACTCTAAGTTTGAGATGGTGACGATGACGGTGGTGATGATGGTGGTGATGATGGTGTAATGATGGTGATGATGATGATGGTAATGATGGTGAGGATGGTGTGATGATGATGATGGTGATGACAAAATCAAAAAAGACATCAGAAACAACAACGAAATCATCATCATCATCATCGTCATCATCACAGACACAACACTGAAAAGATTGTTTACTTCCTCTTATTGGACCGGAAGTTGAGACAGCCGTCTGAGGACGATGCCGATGACGTCAAAGCCAAGTCATCTATTTATAGTAAGTCTATTTTCAGAAATTTCATTTTTACATGTTCTATTTTTAGATGTTCTATTTTTAATTGTTCTATTTTTAAACATTTTATTTTTAGAAAAATTTTTCCCAATAAATGAAAAGTTGAAAATTAGAAATTTTACCATTCTACCAATTTTTAAAAATCCATTACACAACCAAATAATAGATTATCAATTTTTATAGCGCTTAACTTTTAAAACCATACCAGGTGACCCACCCAGGAAACGTATCGATACGGCCCCACTCAACCAATCACAGGCCAGGTTTTCACTTGGAAATTTGACGGAGGGCTCTCCGCTTGCCCCCAGGAGGGCGCTGACTGTCCACCAATGGTTGGTTTGTAAGGAGTGGTTGATGGGGGTGTCTGTAGGCCACCATAACCATCATCATCATCATCATCATCATCATCATCATCATCATCATCATCATCGTCATCATCGTCATCATCGTCATCATCATCATCATCATTATCAGGAGGCGAAACAGAAGCCTACAGAACTGCACCTCCAACACGAGCCTCTCCAGTTTGACAACGTCATCGTCATCGTCGCCATCGTCATCGACATACGATGCTTCCGCCATGATGATGATGACCATGATGTCCAACTCCTCATCCACCATCCACAACAACAGCAACATCAACAACAACATCAATAACAATAATAATAACAACAACAACAATAGTGGTAGTAGTAGTAGTAACGTTATTAGTGGCGGTAGCAGAAGCAACAATAGCGTCACTGGAATGTAAGTTTTGTGGCTGTTGTTGATGATGATGACGATGATGATGACGATTATGATGATGATGATGATGACGATTATGGTTATGATGATGATGATGCCACAATCAATTAACCGTCAAAACAAATCGACCGTAAATAACCAACCAATCGCAACTGACTATTTAAACCATTAAACCAATTGCAACTGACCATCTAAATTATTCAACCAATCACAATTGCCCATTTAAACCGTCCAATACATTCAACCAATCAAACAGTGGCAAAGCCTCCCCAAAGAGATTAAGCACCTCCTCTTCGGCCTCCGTCCAATCAGCGTCCGACAATTCGATGTACCAGCACGACAAGCAACAACATCAACAACAACAACAGCAACATCAGCAACAACAACAGCGCCGACAACATTCTCTTCAAAGCAGGCAACTCAACTTTCAACATCACCATCATCAGCAACAACATCGTCACAGTAGTAGCGGTTCTCAATCCAAACAACAACAACAACAACAAACAACGCCCACGTCCTCGTATAGACAAAAGTTGCTGCAACTGTCTCAGCAACAGCAAAAACTTCAGCAGCAGCAGCAGCAGCAAAAATCGCAGCAACAACCACAACAACACAAGCAACAACAGCCGTCATCGTCTGAACCAACGAATCATTCGTACAATACGACGACGACAACAACAACAACAGCCAACAACAACATCACAACAACGCCATCGTCATCAACACCAACAACAACATCATCATCATCACCACCACCTCCGCCACCACCATCGTCATCATCATCATCAACGAATCCTTGGAAAGCCAGACTGCACTCACTGAAGATCAGTTTTCTGGGGTCGCCGAGATTCCATCGGAAAAAAATGCACGGTTGTTATGATGATGATGATTGTGATGATGATGATTGTGATGATGATGATTGTGATGATGATGATTGTGATGATGATGATGATGATGATTGTGATGATGATTGTGATGATGATTGTGATGATGATGATGATGATGATTGTGATGATGATGATGATGATTGTGATGATGACGACGATGTCCGACCTACTTCTAAAATTTCACCTTTTAAATTTTTAATCCACTCGACAGCAGAACAATCATCTGATGACCTCTCAATGACACCCGGATCATCTGCCGAGTAAGATGATGATGATGACGATGATGATGATGATGACGATGATGACGATGATGATGACGATGATGATGATGACTTTTTTGCAGGTTCACGAAAAAATCCTGGTTCGGCGCGTTAATTGGGTCAGAGCGCGACGAGCAGTGCTTCGTGATGGTGAAGGATAAGAATATAGGTCAGGTCAAGGCCGACTTAATACACGCGTTCCTTTGTGTTAGTACCAGTTATATATATATATATATATATATATATATATATATATATATATATATATATATATATATATATACAAATTCAAATTCAAATTCGATAAATTTTTAATTTAGCAAAATACACTAGCAGGGAGAGCCGAAGTTTTAACTTGTTGGGCCACCCTATCAAGATGTTGCAAGAACGTGAAGGAAGGGAAACTTGATGGGATCAACCTGATGAAACGCAGATCGAACAAAACGAATCATAAAAAAAAACTCAAAAAGCAGAAACTGCAATAGTTTAATAGTAAAAAATGATCGTTCAAAATTAACTTATAGACAAATTTCTTGAAAGAACTCAGCGAAGGCCAATTTGTCCCTTCTCTTGGTAACGAGTTCCATGGACGAACTGAAACAGAATTTAAAGAAAAAGTCTGTGCAAATAACTATGAAACTAAAAGTCGGGAGGATTATTTGGTAAGACAAGTGAACGATCATTAACTAGATGACTTATTTGATCACAAAGAGGTTGGCAGTACGATAATTTGAACAGTTTATAAAAAGAAAACAACGAAGTTAACAGAATATGTAACTGATTAACTTTTAAGATATTTGCTGGCGTATAAAAGTGACCAATAGGATGAGATCTAGAAACGTTCAATGAAATCCGCAAGGAAGTTTCGGCATAAATGTAAAATATGGACACTAGATTTCGTGCTGAAACCCCATGTATGTAGAAACACAATGAGACATGACCATGGAGTTGTATGAGGTACTCAGTATAAAATTAGGAAACCTAGCTCTTAAACGATAAATTAGACCTAAATTCTTGGTAATTTTTTCGAAATTTATTGAATACGTTTCGAAATAAAAAATTTTCAAAATTTATTGAATATGTTCAAGCCACGATAAATTACTCGAAATAATAAGGCCAAGAAATTTAATTAAGTGAACCCTGTCAATGCTATTTTCATTTAATTAATTAATTAATATCATATTAGTAATTAATGAATGAATGAATCGATCAATCAATAAATCGTGTATCAATTAAAATCAACCAATCAATTAAAAGCCTCCAGTCAACCAACCAATCAAAAACAACCAATCAACCAACAAGCCAATCAAAGTACGACAACCAACCAACCAACCAACCAACCAACCAACTAATCAAAAACCATGAATCAACCAACAAACCAATCAAAATACGACAACCAACCAACCAACCAACTAATCAAAAACCATGAATCAACCAACAAACCAATCAAAATACGACAACCAACCAACCAACCAACTAATCAAAAGCCATCAATCAACCAACAAACCAATCAAAATACGACAACCAACCAACCAACCAACCAACCAACTAATCAAAAACCATCAATCAACCAACAAACCAATCAAAATACGACAACCAACCAACTAACCAATCAGATGCCAGATTTGAGCCACACGGTAATATCGCCGACGTCATTCGTCGCCGAATACAGGCGCAACCCAACCAATTCCGTTTTTAGCAGACACGTTAAATTGCAGGTTGTTATGATGATGATGATGGGGATGATGATGATGATGGGGATGATGATGATGATGATGGGGATGATGATGATGATGATGGGGATGATGATGATGATGATGGGGATGATGATGATGATGATGATGGGGATGATGATGATGATGATGATGGGGATGATGATGATGATGATGGGGATGATGATGATGATGATGGGGATGATGATGATGATGATGGGGATGATGATGATGATGATGGGGATGATGATGATGATGATGGGGATGATGATGATGATGATGGGGATGATGATGATGATGATGATGGGGATGATGATGATGATGATGGGGATGATGATGATGATGATGATGGG